CCTGGTCTTGTCTTTGGAAACGAAAGCGTGGCAGGATGAGCCACCTGCTTCAGGGTAGGGGACAGCAGCTGGGGTTGCTCAGGGGACAGTGGGGCCGATCCCTGTGTGTCCTCCCCTCTGTTTTCTGGGTTTGATATTGAGGCTCATCCTCTCCAGCAACCGCTGGCTCAGGGCACCAGGGCGCAGGGGCCCACCTTCCTTCCTGCTCTCCCTGAGTAGAGTGGCAGCCGGTGCAGACCCTGGTTGGTGGTGTTTGCCATCCGGCCTCCTCCCCCAAATGCCCAAGACATTTGAAGCTTCTGGGAGAAAGACGGGGCAGCGCCTTCTCCTAGAGCCGGGTTCCCCCCGTGGCGGCTCATTAGTGTCACCTGGAGTGGGGGGGGTTAAAAATGTCTGGCCCCATCTCAAAAACCCCAATGGCAATGCCTGCAGGGGCGGACACCCTTTGGGGCTCCCCAAGGCACCCGAGGGCCAGGTGATGTGGACAGTGTGGGTGACCTTCCTACGACTCCTTTTTTCTTCTGTCAGAAAAATCAGGTGACATGAGATCTGCCCTCCTAACATGTTTTTCAGTGCACAGTACAAAATTGTCATCTCGGCGCCATGTTCACAACAGGTCTCTGGGGCTTTTCCATCTTCACGACTGGAAATCTGTACCCATTGAACAGCTCCCTACCACATGCTGTGGCATGGGCCGACAGTGAAAACGTCATGCTAAATAAGTCAAATGAGTCAGTCACGTAACTCTTGCACTTTGGGCTTCGGCTTACTTCTAAGGAGAGTTTGGATTCTGTGGTCACGTTTCTGGCTCCCAGTGTCGCTGTTCTCTGATTTCAGACGAGGTCGCGTATCTGCTCGTGTGTGATGCAGGAATCAGCGTGATGTGGTTTTCCTGGGTGAATGGGGCACAGTCCCCTGGACGTCCCTGGCTTACTCACTTGAGCTGTGCTACTGGACATTTGCTCTTTCCATGGTCCCAGCCACACCAGCTGCCCCGTTGGCTGGATGGACGCTGCGGGGCAGCTTTGGTCTCCGAGCCTTTTCTGATCACGGCTGTCCTCGGCCACCTCTTCCTTCCCTGTTGCTGCCAGACACAGGACCCTGTGCAGGCCCTTGCCTCTGCCCACCTGGCACTCCAGGCACAGCATCAGGCCTCGGTCGCCTCCGTCCAGCCTGACTTGACCATCGTGCTGCTGCCACAACCCTTTCCCAGCTCACTGGCTCCCTCACCCGCAGCCCCGGAGGCAGGCTGAGGGCTGTCTGCAGTGCTGCCAAGTGATGCTGGAGACATCCCCAAAAGGACTCCCAGCAGCCTGCTGGAAACGAGGAGCCTCAGCCCCCTCACTTGTCCTGTGATCTCCTAAGTCACCCTCCTTGTGGCCCCTGTGGCAGGCAGCAGACCCCGTCACCTTACTCTGGGCACATACTGCTTCCTGCTTTGGCTGGGCTCTGCCTCTAACTGTCCGTCTCCCTTTGGTTTACATCCAACTGCACGATTGCTTTATCTAAACCGCAGCTCAGACCCCCTTTGACCCATGTCTTGGGGGGGCCTTGTAGGTCTTCTCTATTAGGTCTTTGTCTTGGATTTCACTAGTTTCTCTCTGATTATACCCTCCCTTCTGCCTTCTTCAGGCTTATTCTTTTTGTAACTTCTGAGGTCGGATGTTTAGGCTGGCTGGTTAGCTCGGTTAGAGCACAACCTTGTAACACTGATATGATGGGTTCGGATCCCTGTACCAACCAGCCCTGCAAAAAAAAGAAAAAGGATGTATAGCTATGCATTTCTGTCTAGATATGCACTAGCTGCATCCAATGTTTTGGGGTTTTTTTGTTTGTTTGTTCTAAAGATGACGGGTAAGGGGATCTCAACCCTTGACTTG